TTATAGGGGTTGGAAGGTCGAATTACGCTGGGCGTAACTTGAGATTACGCTGGGCGTAATGACGATAGGGTCGCTGACTCCCCCCTTGGATAATATCAGATAATATATATTTAAATTAAACATCGAAAATATTTAATAAACTTCAAAAATTCATATCTTCCTCATACGAACTCCATTTTCGACGTTCTTTATATCCACGCGTAGGTGAGACTATGATCTACAACTTTTGTTTAGACTCCATTGGCTAATTTTGACTTTATTTTTATTATTTATTTTTAGTAGGCCGGGACAGAAAAACTCCGTTATAAATTCGTAACTTCTTCATCTGACGTTCGTTTTCGCCTATCTTTTTATCGTTTTACTACTATTAACGAGACCTTCGATTCTCATTAAATTGTTTCGGCTAAAAACCGCCCGATCTCAAATCGAGTATTCGGGTTGGATACTGCTAAGTCGAAACTTCGAAAAATCATAACTTCCTCATACGAAGTCAGATTTGGGCGTTCTTTTTATGCACGCTCTCAGTTTAACGAAATCTACGACTTTCATTTAGATCACTAAAGCTAAATATTGCTCTAACGTAAATTTCACTTTTTACGTCATTCAGCGTTACCGGTTCCGTCACGAAACTTCGACAGGTCATAACTTCTTCGTTATAACTCGGATTTCGACATTTTTTTATATCTTCGGAATCCTTATTCCGAACACTACATATTTATGGAAAGATGTTGGGATTATCCCATACTTCAAATTCGATGCTTATTTTATTCTTAATTCATTAAATTATAATAATTAAGAAAATAAACACATAATTCATATAATTCACACAATACTCAAATATTTCATCATTAATACTTCAAAAAGAGTTACAAGGGTTAACCTAGACTATTACATCAATGATAATGCCTAGCCTGGAAATGCGGGCGTTACAATTCTCTCCCCTTAGGATGATTCCGTCCTCGGAATCACACATTAACAAACAAATGCGGATAGCGACTCAACATGTCACTCTCCGTTTCCCACATGAGATTTGGCCCATTTGAATGTTTCCAACAATAAAGCACTAATTCGACCATCTTGTGTCAAAGCTTCTTAGTCTTTCGGTCAACAATTGCCTCTAGTTCTTCAATTAACCTCTTGTTTTCATCAATTCTCAATTCAGAAATTGGAATTATATTGGGAACTTCTGCTGTGAACTTCCTCAAATAACACACATGAAAAGTGTTGTGAATTCCATTCAGTTCTTCGGGTAATTCGAGCTTGTAAGCTTGGTTCCCAACCCTCTGAAGAACTTTAAACGGTCCAATAAACCTTGGACTCAACTTTCCCCTTTTACCAAATCTTATAAGTCCCTTCCACGGTGAGACTTTAAGCAAAACCGAATCTCCAACCTCAAAAGTCATCGGTCTTCACTTCTTGTCAGCATAGCTCTTTTGACGATCCTGAGCTGCTAACATTTTTTCCCTGATCACTTTCAACTTCTCAGCAGTTTGATGGACCATCTCGGGACCCATAAACTGTTTTTCCCCAGCCTCAAGCCAACAAGACGACGTACGACACTTTTTTCCATACAAAGCTTGATAAGGTGTCATCTTTATGCTCGAGTGGAAACTATTATTGTAGGAAAATTCTACCAAAGGTAAATGTTCATCCCAATTACCTAGGAATTCTAGGGTACATGCTCTCAGCATATCTTCAAGTGTTTGTATTGTTCTTTCACTCTGACCATCAGTCCGCGGATGGTAAGTTGTACTTAAACATAACTTGGTACCCATTTCCTCTTGTAGACTTTTCCGAAACCTTGAGGTGAAATGGCTATCACGATCCGATACAATCCTCAACGGAACACCGTGAAGCTTCACAATTTCCTTCACGTAAGAATTCACAAGCTTTTCCATAGACCATTTCTCATTGGCTGCTATGAAATGCGCATTCTTTGTGAATCGATCAACGACCACCCAAATCATGTCGTGACTATTCTATGTTTTGGGTAGTTTAGTGACAAAATCCATCGCAATGTCTTCCCATTTACCTATAGGCACAGGTAAAGGTTCTAAACTCCTGTATGGTTTCTGATGTTGTGTCTTGACTCTCGCACAAGTCACACACTCGGCCACATACTTTGTAACGTCAAGCTTCATCCTTGGCCACCAGTAGTAGGGTTTCAGGTCCCTATACATTTTAGTGCTACTAGGATGAATCGAGTACATGGTTTTGTGAGCTTCTTCCATCAGAAGATCTCTCATTCCTCCCGACTTAGGTACCCAAATACGATCTATGAATACCTTCAGTCCATGACCGTTTGTACCAAACACCAACGTTTTGCCCAAACGTTCCTCCTTTCGGTCATTTTTCTCAGAAGCTTCCTCTTGAGCTTTCTTTATACTCTCCATAATTGACAACTTCTATTCTCAACGCTCTTGGCCTTTTTCTATCAACATTGACTTTCCAACTGAGAGCATCAGCAACAACATTAACTTTACCAGGATGGTAAAGTATCTCACAGTCATAGTCCTTGAGTAACTCTAGCTAGTGTCGTTTCCTCATATTCAATTCTTTCTGATTAAAGAGATATTGGAAACTCTTATGATCAGTGAAAAGTTTGCACTTTGTGCCATAGAGGTAATGCCTCTATATTTTCAGAGCGAAAACTACCGCTGCCAACTCCAAATCATGAGTCGGGTAATTCTTTTCATGCTCCTTTAGTTGTCGAGACACATATGTTATCACCTTTTCCCTTTTGGTCAAAACACAACCCAATCCAACCCCAGACGCATCGCTATAGACAGCGAAGTCTTCAACTCCATCGGGTAAAGAAAGTATTGGTGCCTCGCATAGCTTCTTCTTTAGCTTCTCGAATGTTTCTTTATGCTTATCATTCCAAGCATAAGTAGCTCCTTTGTGGGTCAAAGTTGTTAATGGAGTAGCAATCGAAGAAAAGCCTTGGATAAACCTTCGGTAATATCCGGCTAATCCTAAAAAGCTTCGGATCTCCGTGGGACTTTTCGGTTGTTCCCACTTCATTACAGCTTCAATCTTTGTTGGATCAACCAATATCCCTTCTTGGTTTACCATGTGACCCAAAAATTGGACTTCTCAAATCCAAAAATCACATTTGGAGAACTTTGCATACAACTTCTCCTTCTTCAATACTTCTAACACTTCTCGCAAGTGTCTTCCATGCTCCTCTTGGCTTTTCGAATAATTCAGAATGTCATCTATGAACACTATCACAGATTTATCAAGGAACGGATTACAAACCCTATTCATTAAATCTATGAATGCTGCTAGAGCATTGGTTAGTCCAAACGACATAACCAAGAACTCGTAGTGTCCATATCTAGTTCTGAATGCAGTCTTCTCGATATCTTGCTCTCTTACTTTTAGTTGATGATATCCTGACCTAAGATTGATCTTCAAGAAATAGCTCGAACCTTGCAATTGATCAAATAGGTCATCAATCCTTGGCAACGGGTATCTATTCTTTATTGTGCCTTGTTCAGTTCTTTGTAATCGATGCACATTCTCATACTTCCATCTTTCTTCTTCACGAATAACATCGGAGCTCCCCAGGGTAATGAACTAGGTCTAATGAAACCTTTGTCCAATAATTCCTGAAGTTGCATCATTAGCTCCTTCATCTTCGTCGGTGCTAATCGATAAGGTGCTTTTGCTATTGGCGTGGTCCCTGGTGACAAGTCTATTCTGAACTCCACTTGTCTATCAGGTGGTAATCCAAGAAGATCTTCAGGAAATACTTCCGGATAATCACACACCACTGGAATACTCTGCATCACCTTCTTTTCCTTCTTAGCATCAATCACGAATGCTAAATATGATGTACATCCCTTGGTCAAACACTTTTTAGCTTTCATTAGGGAAATGATTCCATAATTCACTCTACGTTTATCCCCATACACCATAAACGACTATTTCCCTGGCTGGTTTACTTTAACTATCTTCTTCTTGCATAATATCTTAGCGTCATTGGCGCTAAGCCAATCCATTCCCAGAACGACGTCGAAACCATTAAGTTCGATAGACAATAATTCCTCGTGAAACTTATTCCCATTAAGGTCGATTAAGATGTTTTTCATACGATGGCTAACAGGTACAAACTTGCCACTAGCAACTTCGACTAATAAAACATTATCTAGTCTATCAATAGGCAAAGCTAGTTTTCTACCAAACTCATGCGAAATAAAGGAGTAGTTGGCTTCAGAATCAAACAAAATTTGAGCAGGTAATTCATTTGGAATAGAAATATAGTATGAGCGTGTTCGACATGGAACGTTTGGAAGCGCTTGAGAGTTTCTAGTTTCGAGCATTTGACAAAACGGTCCGTTTTGAACAGAAAATTTTGTTTGACACTACAAGCTTGTAGCGTTTAGTTTAAACAAAACACTCTATATCTAAATACTACTTCACGTCTGGTTTAATAAAACGCTACTGACTAGAAGTTACCCGTTACCCATTACAAACTACTCTTTACGAACTATTTTTGTCAAACACACCGTATATATCAAAAGCTTATTATAAATTGTTCTATTACCACAATTAATAGAGATTATTTTACACTTATCAAGAGCAATTTTGAAAAATGAACTAAAATAGCCCATAGCTTTTTCTTAAACGTCTATATGAAGTATCTTTTAATTTGAACATTTAATTTAAACGGAAAGAAATCGCTTCCTATTCCCTAGTTTATTTTCACATTATATGAAATTATGTACATTATTTTATGATTTATAATGTTTTTTATAAACACAGAAAAATGTTAAGTTTGGTATTACACGTCTATTTACTTCAATTTTTTTTTTTTTGCTGTAATTAAAGTCTTTAAATCTTGTACGACATGCCATCAAATTATTCAAAGTTTATGAAGGCGCCTAATTTAACGAATTTCGTTTTATTTTCCTTTTGGTCGATTTTAACCAACCGCCTACCTACACGATACTATAAATATAATTTTATTCTGTCTGATTCATGCAAAAAGATAGATGGAATCAGATTCGATTTTGAGTGGCAATATTAGTGAGCAACGATGGGTGGATCAAATCAGCAAGAATTTCGATGATGAGGTTGGCAACATTAGCGACATTCCCGTTTGTGTGTTCAGTGTCCCGAAATCCACAAGCCATTTCAAGCCTGAGGCTTATGTACCTCTGGCTATAGCACTTGGACCATACCACCATTTTGAGACTCATCTCTACCAAATGGAAAGGTACAAAGTTGCTGCTGTTAAAGACCTCTTGAACGATGATCAACTTTTATCCTTCGAGACCCTCGTGATCAACAGGCTTAAAGAGAAGGAGCTCATGATTCGCGCTTGTTACCACAAGTATATAAACCTTGATGGCGACACATTGGCTTGGATTATCGCTATTGATGGTTTGTTCTTGCTTGATGTGTTCAGGCACTATGGGGACGTTGCACCCTTGATGCCCAAAAAGCTGATAAATGATGGTGTACTCTATAGAGACATAATGGTGCTTGAGAACCAAATTCCCTTGCGTTTATTGAGTGAAATACAGAAGATCCTTCGTCTCTCATGCACTGATGATAACAATAACGGCGAACAAGAGTTGTTCTCCATGTTGAGAGAATTTTGTGAGGTACACTCTCCTCTCAAGTTGGGAAAAGATTCTAATCATGGTGTTGGAACGGGATACTTGCATTTGCTTGATCTTATGTATCATCTGATTGTCAACAATCAATCAACTACAGACCCTCTTCAAGTTCTAGTAATGCAACGTAAGGACAATGATGATGCCATGAAATGGAAGGAAAAAGACGACATCAACCTCACAGAGATAGAAGAGGTTGTGGAAATGGGATTACGTCTTGGTGTGGGTAAAAAAGCTGATCGTCCTATTCAGGTCATAAAGAATATCCCTTGGGAAAAAATATCGAATTTGGTAGGTCTAAAAATAAGTCAACAATCCAGCGAAGAAGATGATAACAAACCTGAAGTCACCGAAATTGAAATTCCCTCGGTGTCATCTCTTACCAAATATGGTCAAATCAGTTTCTGCCACACCACCGGAGGGATTAGGGACATTAAGTTTGAAGAAAGCGAAGCGACTCTATACCTTCCGGTGATTGCTCTTGACATATACTCAGAAGTGGTATTGAGAAATCTGATTGCTTACGAAATGGCAACCTATAATTCAACACCCGAACTGGCCCAATATGTCGACTTAATGAGTGGAATTATTGATACAGAGGCGGATGCGAATTTACTTAGAGATAAGGGAATAATTAGAGGAAATCTAAATAATAAAGAAATTGCGGATCTCTTCAACGGGATAAACAAATGTAATGGGTATAAAAGTGGTAACAAGACGGTTAAACAGGTAAATGAGTACTACAACAATAGACCCAGGATAAAGGCGTTGAGGTTCATGAAGAAAGACCTGATTTGCTCGAAGAGAGTTGCAACAGTGGTTTTGACAATTATTTTGTTCTTGTTAATGAGTCTATACTCGTTCTGTGAAGTCTATGGTTGTCCAAAACTATTCGACAAAAAGTAAGGGGTTAGAACCACATGTCCACGAAAAAAAATAGATAATTTATATTGTTTAATGGTGTTAATTAAGTTTCTTTGGTGCGACTAGAAGTTGATGTCTTGTATATATGCGTTTGTTGTTTTCGCACAAAGAAGTGTCCATACTCTATATTTTATGTTTAATGTTGTTTACACGTTCAAGTTTTTTAAGTATAGCCCATGTTTTGAAAACCGGACCGGACCGGCCGGTTCGACCGGTTCAACCGGGAACCGGTCCCGGATCCGGTTCTTAAATGCTAAAAAACCAGTATTCATTTGAACCGGTGAAAACCATTAAAAACCGGTTGAACCGGTCAAAACCGGTCCGGTTGAACCGGCAAAACCGGTCAAAACCGGAAATTTAAAAAAAAATATATTTTTTTTATTTTTTGTATTTTTTATATAATTAAATATAATTATGATATCGTTCGGTTTTCCCGGTTTTTGAGACCGGTCTGACCGGTTGGACCAGCTGAACCATCGAACCAGTAAGACGACCGGTTCGATCTCCGGTCCGGTTTTCAAAACATTGAGTATAACCATCAACTTGCATAGTTTGTTTTAATTTGTTAGTATCAAAAGTTGAAGATGAGCCCAAACATTAACTTTTTGTATTGATAGCAAAATATTTACATAAATCTTAAAAGGAGAAAAGGAAAATCAAGATATGTATATCTATCTAAATTAAGTAACAAATATTAAAATACACGCAAAAAACTCCATAATTTCGAAGTTAGATAAGAATTGTAGAGTAATTCAAATTAATGGAATATTTTAGGAAACTTTCCTTATTTTGATATTACTCTTTATCTTTCCATGTATTGATATTAGACTTATATATAGGAGTAATTAAACCGTTTGACGTTTATATTCGGTTCTTCTTTTGATTAGTAATAAAGCTTAAAAATCAAGTTTGTTTTACCTCTTTCTGTGTTTATCTTGCCATGTTTCTCCCTGTTACTTTGGACCCCTTGATACTTTGTTTCCTTGTGCTCAGAGGCATAAGTTGTTGCTTTCACTTGGTATCGTAGCACAACAACTAGGTTAGTCAAAAAACAATAGAACCTCGACGGAGAAGGTCAAAAAATGGTGGATGGATGGAAACCACAACTACTTACTTTTAGCATTTGATTTGGTACAGAGTGTGCGGTAAATTGGACTTCATTCCTACAATGACTGAAGGAATGCGTTTATGATACTATAGAACTCACATCCATAAGCAATATGTCTAATTCCATAGATTACACAACAATGCTGACATACATATTTGTTTGTTCACTGTCCTGAAATCCAAAAGCCATTTTGGGCCTGAGGGTTATGTACCTCTAGAAATAACATGCTGACTATACCAACATTTTAACACACATCCCTACCAAATGGAAAGGTGCTGACTATACCAACATTTTAACACACATCCCTACCAAATGGAAAGGTACACCGTTATGTTGGAAATATGTGTCCATTGTCATAACTAATTAATATAAGTTTGAGAATAATAACAAAGTCGTTTTAGAGTTGTTCTCAAAAGTTAAAATAGTTAGAAACATATTTAAGAGGGTGAGATAAATAGTTTATTAATTTATCGTAGATCGATAAATTAATTAGAACCTTTTAAAATTAATTTAAAATTTATTTTAATTAATTGGAATTAATAAGAATTACTCAGGAAATTATTTAAAGATACATGAACTGAATATTAATTGTTTATCATTGAGCAACTAAAATATTTTGGAACCTCTTAGGACATAGAGAAGGGATAGAGACCTTCTAATATTCATCCATAGCGGTTGATAAGGCAGAGATTTTTAATTAAGATTAACTATGATTATTTAATTGATTCAAATCTGTTTTTTCTTCAAGTTTGATCAGTTATATATAGACCCTCATTGATAGTTTTCGTTCCTTTCTCTTATCTTTCTCAGAATTCGAGTTTTCCTATCTCTCCTCCCCCCCCCCCCCCTCCCTCCATGATTTCCAGCCTTTAGAATTTTGGGTGGGACACTTTAAACACATTCTACTTTGGGTGCTAGTCCTTTCATAAGCTTCAAAAGAATTCGAGATCTACAAGGAATCAAAAAGCAAATCTGATTTTGCTTAATGTTTAGTGTATCTTTCTTGGTAATAATATTTTGTAGATTTGAAAAAAGGTTTCTATAAGTAGTAAAACCTAGATCCTAGGGTGCATGTACACTTAAGGTTATTTTAGTTGCTTTCGGTCTTAACTTTACTGTATAGACGTGTAGAAAATCTTTCGTGGTATCAAAGCCATTAGATTTTATTTATGAGAACTACTTGAAAAAACTTAATAAAACGAAAATAACTTATTAATTGCAGGACAAGACACACCCAGTAAAGGACACGATGCACCATTCGCTGGTTTAGGTGATTTCTTGTTTTTTGCATGTAATTTTGAATTTTAGATTTGATTTCTTGATTTAACTATTATTTATTTTGTTAAAAATGAATAATTAAACTTGGAGGATAAGCATGCCTAAGTAATTTGAAATTATAGATAATTGATAGAAAATTAATTAATTAAAAGTTAATTAAAGATAATATGTTTAAATCATGTATTTTTAAATTGTTTAAAATACACCTTACATATAATTATTATAGTTTACATATAGTATATGTAAAACTAAAAGATTAAAGAAGTCTTTAGTCGAACCAAGAGTATTCCTCATTCACGAAAGCACACTATAAGAAGGTATAAGGAAACTGCTTATAAAATGACAGTTAAATGGGTGTCCTTTTCACTCACCGCTTCTTTGCGTGGTTGATTGTTGTTAGTCGAAAGGGTTTGATAGGATGATGTATCATTAAAAGTATAAAATATAATCTAATAAAACAAAATTCTTGTCGAAATGGTTTGATACGAAGATGTTGTATCACTTATGGTTAAGTTTTGTCGGCGGAGCGTGTGTGGTTAACCGACACGTCAATTAGAGAACCAAAACATAATCGAGAGGTCATTCGTTTTTGAATGATTGGTTCACCATATTATTTGTGAGACCTCAGTATCCTAGGAACGATGGAAGATTTGTCAATCCGAGATTAACATGCCATTAAATAGTTTTAATGAATCTCAAATGAACTAAGAGTTGTGTAGCATCCCGGAATTTAGGTATAAAACTGTAGACAATCAACTCACTGTGAACCTCATTGTAATTTGACCTATTGAGTGTTAGTGCATATTTTTTAAATAAACAATGTCATTATAAATATTATTGGATATGAAATGGTATCTTACTTCCATTTGTGGAAAATCTCAAATGAAAAAGAAAGCGCAAACTACAACCCTAGTTAATACGTCTGAAACACTAAAACTAGTATTAAGCTGTTGTGAGCAAAGAAATAATTATAACCTCATAGTATATGTTCCCCTGATTCCGAAAATAGAAGGAACGTCCAAAACGGACTTCGTATGCAAATGACACAACCGTTTTAAGAAAACAAAACCAGTAAAACAATGATTTTCTTTAAACTATTAAAACCGAATCGATGCGTTGAGACACTTGCACAACTCAGATTAAAATTCTGAGATCGTTTTCGGTTTTAGACTATGGTCTAGTATTTAATTTTTTACTCAAAATATTTTTATCAAAAATATTTGCAAATGTCGAAAAATCGAGCGTTTCGGATCATTTAGACGTAAAACTTTAAACGTCTTTCCCGGAGTTCTAGAAATCTAAAAGTTAATCCATTCGGGTTTTTGAAACCCCTAAAATCAGCCCTATCATAGGAAACTTTAGAAAAAATATTAGATGTCAGGATTTTGATACACCAAACTATGGTTGTTTTTGGGACTCTTTGCTAAACATGACATCAATGGGACCCACCAATCTATGCATGCAAGACAAAAATCTTCCTTTATCCTCTTGGATCCTCTTATCCACGTGACTTCACCCATCACTTCCTTCTTGCTTGTGTATACTCCAACTTCATTGTACAAGTATGGCTTCACTTGGATTATTGGACTATAAGAAAGAGCATTGTGCTCAAGGATTGTACGAGGCCTTCAAGACTATAAATAAAAGCCTCAAGCTCTTCATTTTCATCACAAATCACAACCAACATCACCTCTCTATTTTATTTCTTTCCTTGGCTAGAAAAACCCCACAGGAGCACCATAATACCACCAAGAAACCACCACCGACCACCCATAATTTCCCTCACTGTTTTAGTAAGCGAACCTCACCCAAACAACACCTCCGACCTTCTACCACCTCCCTTCTCCTGCCCTCTCGATGTGTGCTGCTAGCAGAAGAGAAACGTAGGCAACTAAAGGTTGCCTACGCACCTGTTGCCACCACCTCCTGCCACTGTCGTCAAGTTGCTGATGTCCAACCACCACCCACAGCCTTGCTATTATCATTGTGAGTATCGACCATCACCATTTTTTCTTTGTTGTTTCTTTCGTTCGTAACAACCAAGGACCAAGAGACCCTTTTTTTGGTTCCTGCATGCAAACGTGATGAGGAGGAGGAGGACACATTCCTCAGACTTTAATTCCAATTAATTTACACAACCCCTCCTTTGAAATTTCTTAACAGATGAGTCTCTTTCTCAAACTCCCATTCTTTTTTTTTTTTAAATAATTTCTTATGTGCATGTATTTGTTCCACATCAGGAGGAAAGAAAACTTCCATTTTTTTAATTAAAATGACCCCTCCTAGAATTTTGTGGACAAACTAAATCCTACCCCTAAAGTTTGATTCTTTTAAACCATTGCATTCCCTTACTTGGAAATAGGTTGAAAAATGAGTCCCACCTCAAACATTGATACCATTTAATAAACACCCCCCCTCCCCATATTTTGATTAATATTAGAAATCAGTCCCTCTTTGGTTTATGTTAAATAACAAAAACTTCACATTTGGTTAAAAACGTAACAAAAATAGTCCTGGTGGGTAATTTTAAAATTAAAAAGGCGTTAAGTTGTAGTTTATTACGTCAAGCATCACACCAAAGAATCTAAATCATAAT